TGCACACAGTTCCACAAGTTATCAGCCACCAAGGCCTCAACTAGAAGGCCAGTTGTAATTTCATTTGATTTCACATTTCTTGAAATTTTGTGAAAAGCTGTTTTCTACTCCTATGAATATCAATACGGTCATTATTATTATTGCCACTGTGATTATCAATATGTTCTCAAAATGCTAATAGCAATTAAAAATATGAAAGAATATTTCAAAAAATTAAGGAAAAGCATAAACTGGTGAAATAGGAGGTACTTGTAACTGACTGCTTGGTAACTTAAGTACATCTAGAGTCATCTATGTGTAAATCCAATTAATAAACTAAAAACATAGTGGCCATGGTATGTATGTGATTCATCCCACCATATAGGGTTAATATCAGCTCATATATATATGGACAAGCATTTCTAAATCATGGACTGAAAATTAATCCAAATAAAAAGGGTTCAAAGTGTTGAAAAAGTTGGGAACCACTGCTCCAACTTTAAATTATACACTAGTTCTGAAGACTCCTACATAAAACTAAACTGCTAAATATATCATATCAACATCCTTATCCTGCAGAAAAATCAAGATAAAATAGTTTCCTGTAAAACAGCCATTACTTGTCTAGAACTGGAATGAGGAAACAGTGAGAGAAATAAAAGTAATGGCTACAAAGAATATATAGAGTAATATACTTATATATTCACAATCAAAGATAAGGCCACAGACATTATCAATGTCCGTAAATCTACATTATGCTGCTAAGCCCAGTGATGCAGAGGTTTCTAAAGTTCATATTCAAGTAAAGGCCAGTGTGAAATGTATCTAAAGATCATTCAACTAATATAATTATGGGTAAAAAGACTCATTTGGAAAGGCACCATGAGTTCTTATAAATGTCTTAAGATTTCAATATCTATACCATCAATGCAGCAGTCCTATTTGAACACAGAACTGGTAGTGTTCACATTCTAACTACAATGCATTTGATGAACTATTAAAGCCTACTTTAGCAAGTTGTCAAAGTCGACTCCTGAAGGTGCTTTATATCTGTAATTGGTTGATCTGCCTGCATTAAAAATACTGAATGATTTAAATATTCGGTAATCATTTACAGTATGGATGCACTTGCCACAGATTAATTCCCTAAATCCACATCACAAAATTTATTCATCAATCTAAGTAGCTGTGACTGGGAGTTCCCAACTGCCTAAGGGGAGAGTTGATGGGGGCTCTACTCCCCTACACCCCCAGGAAACATCATCTTCACCTCGATGTGCACGGCAAGACAGAGCTGAAACTTGGGAGTACCAAGTATACATATGCTTCCCACGATCTTTCTCTTTTATTTAAAGCGTTACTGTACGTGTCTGAAAATTATTTCTTGTATCGAGGACTGCAACTTTTTGTCCTCAACAAGAATATCATATTCAATTTGCCCCAACTTAGTGTGTCCAAACCATAAGGATTAACCTAATATTCAAAATAGGACATGATACTACACCCTGGCTTCTGTACTTTGAATGCCGACAAATGCCAACTACCACCACATATTTTCAACAAGATAACAACCTTAGACTGGTTCCTTATTTGATGATATATTCTCCCCAGAATACACATGGTGGCTAGGTGGGGCTTTGCCTTAACAGTCCTTAGCATGAGGCCAATACATCAATGAACTTAGGCACATTAACACAAATTCACAGACTCTGGCAAGTGCATGTGGCTATACTTTTACTGGATTTGTTTTCACATTTGCAAATAGGAATAAGTTAAAGAGAACGACGCACGTAGTTAGAGAAAAAAAGGACACCGCCATCTTATAGAGTGGGATAGAACATAGTTTAAGCTTCAGAGGCCTTATAGTCACCGCTAAATGACGAAAATATGGCACGCAGTTGTCTTTCAAATTCAAAGTCAATGAGCTTCTTTACCTGGCAAAGAAAAACACAACACTGACCCACAAACACATTTTTGCATTTTCGAACTAGTCCATGTATCATTACATGCTTGTCTTGGATAGCCATAGCTTAATGCATCCTTACGATAAAGAGTAACCAGGGTAATTATTACAGTATGGGTACACTCCCCAGAGACTATGTCCCCAACTCTACGTCAAAAAACACATTCATCAATCTTAGTTGCCGTAACTGGGTGTGCCTTGTTGATAGAGCTCCCCAACATTCCCCCGGTAAATACTATCTTCACCTCAGTATGCATGGCAAGATAGAGCTGAAACTCGGGTGCACTAAGTGGACTGAGGCTGAGAGTGGCGCTTTCCGCAATCTTTTTCCTCAATTTGTGACATTACTATTCATGTCTGCAGATTATGTCTTATACCAACTACTGCTGCTTTTTGTCCTCTACATGATTATTTTATTCAATTTGCCTTTATTTAGTACATCCAAACCATAAAGACTAATATTGACCAGTCATGGTCCTAGAGCCACTTCAACCAGGTTCCCTTTTACATCATATTACAATAACACTCCCTTTAGCTTAGTATTCTCACCTAGTGTTT